AAATAACTATTACATAGAAAGAACAGTTGCCAATGATATCTACCTTGATTGTTTGAAAACACTAGTGGGATGGGGTAACGATGCAACTACGTACATGTATCCGGGTACGCATCCCTACGAACAGTCGATCCAACTGGACCACGGCGGCGATCTAGCGTAGTGTAGTGCAAGCCGCGGTGGACACCGATACGGCGTACCAGTCCCCGGTACCAGTCACGGTGTGCCGTTCGCTTGGGCGATCACTGTAATGCTACTCCACATCACACATCAGTCACTCATTCACTCGCAATGTAAATGAGTTCAATACAATTATATTTGATGGATTAAAACTAGTTTCTTCCTTAGTTTGCCATATGAGATTGTGGAAACAATTTCCAGAAAGAAATTTTAAATTACTCAGATTCACGGGCCAGTGACTTGGAAACTATTCCGTTCACTGTAGATTTTTCTCCAAATTTTTCCGCATTTGAGAGGCGGAAATCCACTGGTAATGACAACGCTACAAAATAATAACAATAATGAACTCCCCGAAAACCCATAATGGACTCAAGCACACTTTGTGCTCCATATATGTTGCACAAAGTGAGCTTTCGCCCATTATGGGTCGGCGGGTCGTTCATTATTGTTTAAGTATTCGAAAAGTATATTTCATTTACAACGTGCAAATCAAATAGAAATACTTCATCTCTGTTAAAGCCAATAGATTTGTTTTTCTACTTTGTATCAGTTGGATATACCTGCAAGATCATCTGCAAATACCAGGTGATATAATCTGTGGAGTGGATTGATTCATAAATTGTTATTGTCGATTAATATATTGCAATTATCGATTTATATATTGAAAATATTGATTCATAAATAGAAATTATCGATACATATATTGTAAGTATCGATTCATATATTATAATTATTGATTCATACATTATAATTATTGATTCAGATATAATTATCGAGCAACGATTTTTTATTTGGTATTTACCTTAATGACGACATTCTATGATTCGAAAGTTTATTTTTTTCGAACTTATCTAGAAAAAACAATACACTCACCAATTATACGTGGTATAGCTGTTGGCCATTTTTTTCTATGTACAATCGTTACTAAATAAACTGGAATGCTAATTAGAGTTATAGCGAGACCAATTCCAGTTGTAACAGGCTTAGTATAGAGAGGAACGATTATAAGGAACAAGGTGATCATAATAAATATGATAGGTATTATGACTGGTAGCTGCAAAATAAAACAATGATAGTGAGACCTATGATTATGGCGTAAGCAGTAAATATGATGATATATCTATAAAATATTAGTTATAGCAATACATTTTTAGAGACATATTATCTCACCTTAATTGGGCGAGGTATATCTGGTTTTCTCCAACGATACCATAACAGACCGGATACAGTAAATAATGATACAAACCAATTCATGAAACTCACGTACGATATGAGTGTATATATATCGTTGACTTGGACCATTATTAGGGTCAAGGTCCCCTATTAGAAACAACATGTGACTGTACCAATTATGATAAAGTGGAAATGACACATATAATCATTACTCACTCTGTAAACTGTAAACATATGGTGTACAAAAGTGATGTGTACAACTTAGATACCAGCATTCCCTTTGAAGTGGACTTTAAAAAGTTCCATTATAATATCACAAAATTGCACACTCAAAAAGAGGAAACGGTGTGGTATTATGAGGTCATTACGAGAATACCGAAAAGTGTATATGAAGACAGCGAGAGTATCGATCGACGTGCAGCGAAGGTCAATGCGATCGCGTACTCTCTGAGTACATACTTTTCGGTATCCTCGTAATAACCTTATTATTATACATCTTTACCTCCCACGGATACATCATTGGAGTGCCAAAATACAAACAGTTTAAAATAGATAGATCGAACTTCTTTGTATGGGGTCCGGTCAAACCCTGGTGGCTGCCATGTTTGTTTTTATTATTAGAGGACGCTTAAAGCGTAATCGTTCCATATTTGGAATTCTCATTTCCTAATGTGGCAGGATGAATATACCCCGTAAAATAGTCAGGCGATTGAACAGTCTCATTTGGCAAGGTTAAGTAAACACAATATTCTATAAATATTACATTGGTGAAGATTAATAGAGCAATGAGGAAGACGTAATGTGAATGGTTACACAAATCGCACTATATTGTTGATCATATAGACTTTATTTTTATTTACATGTACTTACATTAGTAAGCAATGCGGGAACTGGAGTGCGTCGTTTAATGTGAATCATGGAAATCAAACTTGGCAGTTGCCCTTCCCTTGCAGCAGCAAAGTAGATTCTATAAATATAAAATGACGTACTTCTATTAAAGGCTGTGGCACGTTTTAATTAGCACACATTTTGCGTTGATCATTATTCATTACAACATTAACATATCTAGTTAAATATATTGTGAAATATTAACAAATGTATTATTTACTGGTAGCTGTTTAGTGCAGTTCGAATGTTTACAATTATGCATCCAATGCATATTATGATCACCGAGTATTGCACGCGAAGCTGTTGCACCATTGTGTCATTACATCCCATTGATGAATATATCGCAATACTGCAATAACTTTAATTCATATAAACAGTTATTACTTCGGTGCGTAGGAGATGAAAATTAATGAAATGAACAGTGCGCGTCATTCTTTTTGATTGTGTGTGTTCCCATGTTATTTTTATCTTTAATTGTGTGTTAGATAGCGTAGCGCCGTGTTACTAATACGTGAAATGTTCTTTTCTAAATATCGTCAGACATCATAGATGAATTCCATTTCATGTTGAAACATATAAAAGACTAAATGAGTTTATGGATTGAACGAATTCAAATATATTTTCAAATGTATTATTTACTGGTAGCTGTTTAGTGCAGTTCGAATGTTTACAATTATGCATCCAATGCATATTATGATCAACGAGTATTGCACGCGAAGCTGTTGCACTATTGTGTCATTACATCCCATTGATGAATATATCGCAATACTGCAATAACTTTGATTCATATAAACAGTTATTACTTCGGTGCGTAGGAGATGAAAATTAATGAAATGAACAGTGAGCATCATTCTTTTTGATTGTGTGTGTTCCCATAATATTTTTACATTTAATTGTGTGTTAGATAGCGCCGTGTTACTAATACGCGAAATGTTCTTTTCTAAATATCGTCAGACATCATAGATGAATTCCATTTCATGTTGAAACATATAAAAGACTAAATGAGTTTATGGATTGAACGAATTCAAATATATCTTTTAGAGTTTTTATCTCAGATATATGAGTTGTTGATCAGTCAACTAATCATTTTTTATTTATTTAACGTGTTTATGTATGTAACATTTTTAGATACGCCGAATTTGTTGTACAGCAAATGATGATTTCCACTCATAGTATTTGGTTCATGCCGCTGTTTACAATTATATTGTCGATTTGATTGTACTTTTAAATGAATGTGTGTCACCATTAAATGCTAGTGTGTATCAATTATATATTATTATTGTGCAATATATAGAAGTCAGAAGAGCCATTATAGCAAAAGCTGCTACTCACCGTGCAGTGGTAAAAAGAATTGCACACTCGGAACCAAATGTTGACAAGGAAACAAACAATGGTACAATCCATGACATCACACCAAAAGTTGAAACTGCAAATGACTATCAGATAATATAATTATTAAAATCTGTACCTGTGGTGCAACAAAACATTTTACACATTTGCAATAGTGTCATCAGCAAAATACATGGACTAAATATAGTATTAGGTCTTACCACTGCTACAGCATTCGACTGCAACATTTCTTGTGTGGAAAGCACCGCAAAGTATGCGATATTTGTCAATATATATATAACGGTCACCAGCGATAGTGAAATGATGATGGATAAAGGCAAGTCCCTGTTGAGGTGAAAGATGTGTGGACAAACCAAATCAGCAGTAATGTAACGGTTGTGAACGTTAGCACAGTCTTGGAGACAGTTACTATTGAGGTATATAGTCCGTTATTTGCTTGGAAAAATTTACACTATTAATTAAACACGCACAGGGGGAAATATCTATCATTTCAAAACACGTGAATGGCAATTGCTTTGTCATACCAAATCAGTTAAGTTTGTTTCCAAATGCAATTAAAGAATAATTTCATTTTGATTCATTGCGCACATTATCATGATTTACCGAATATATGTTATCAATACCAGAAGATAATTTTCAATTTTTGACTTTCTGGATTTATTGAAGGAAACTGAACAACATCAACAACCGACGCAACGAGTAAGTACAATGGCTTGTACTTTATTATAACACGTGTGGACGTGGACAATATTAGTATTTGTCACACTGGAAAACTGGATCGATTCGAGTTTAATTACCTTTGAAGATTTGTCATTTCTTCATTCACTGTAGACATACCTGCCCTAATGAGAAACATTATAACGTATAGTAATTAGAAAAATGAATGCTAAATTAATAAAATGGTAAGCAGGTGTGATTACATAATATATGTATAATATGTTATTATTCAACTTACCATCCCCCGTAAGACCACAATCCAACATACATTGCTAAAGCTATATCCCCAGCAGACTTAGGATTTCGAAAAGTGTTTGTTAAATGGTCAGTCTGACCTGCCAACAAAATTAGCGATTATATTTAAGATAATTATGATAAGATAATCCATGATGGTATCAGGACAAACGCTCCCGGGCAAATGTCCCCGTAAGACAAATGCCCCTAATACAAATAGTATTTGTCATTTTTGGCAATGATTTTGACTATCAATAATTAGTTGACTACTAGGTGTTGTCGACAAACGTTTGTTTATATGAATTCATAATAAATTGTTAACTAGATGAATTAATAATACGTCGGCAAACACTTGTTTAAATGACGTTATAATAAGTTGACAACTAGGTATTGTAGGCAAACACTGCTTTATATGAATTAATAATAAGGTGACAACTACGTGTTGTCGGCAAATATATGTTCATATGTGTCAGGAATCCAAAGTTTAATTGATTTCCAAGTATTACGCCCTCCCTGTTAGGCTTATAAGCTTTTAAATACATACGTAATTTACATAGAAAAGGGGATACTTTGTGACTTTTCATAGGTGGAGAAATAAAGAAACATTTATTACATATATTGCATGCACGAATTGTTACATTCTTCACAAGGAGAGCAGCCCGATTGGATAACAAAGAATATACCTGGAGTGAGATTTGTCAGAATGAAGTCAGATGCGATTCTGCTGTGGTATGAACTTGAATGTCTTAGGCCGAGGTGATTCCAACACTCTGTATGAACTTGAGGTTAATAAACTTTGGTGAACTTGGTTAGACAGAACAACAAACTCGATTATGCATTTCTGTTAGTTTGCATAACATTCCTGTTGCCTTGAGGGTATTCAGTTGTATGACAATGATCTATGGCACCTGATTTGGTAGTTTCTAGCAATTTGTTTGGTTTCGACCAATTAGAAATGAGCAGTGTAAACAAAGTGATGTTACCTTAATTTACATTTTAATTTACATATGTTTCACTATAAATTGAACAAGAAATCGTGCTCTGGAGCTGCATGTTTGACGATCCGCCATAAGTACGTAATATCACATAACGTCACCATTGAACTTCTGATTGCCAAATATTCTCCAGTCGTTCTAGTGTCAGCTTTGGTACTGTACAACGTTCTTTTGATGTGAGCCACCTCTGGAAACCAAGCCGTCTGAAGTTTGTCGCCACGTTTGTTGCTCCAGTTCGACATCGTTACGTCCGGTAAAGTACATCTAGATTACACGCGCAAACAGCCAGGTTTCAGTTTCCTCTTGCCTTACCTGCATATTTCGACCGTTTATCGAAACCGTCTAAAATATTTAGGCAATGCAGTAATATTTAATTAGCCGATTTTGTGTAGCTATTTGTAGTTTTTGATCTATAGCTATAACAATATTCTTATTGTGTATTTATTGTCAAACTTTTGGTTAGATTTCTTTGTATTAAAGTGTGCTTACGCACATTGCAGTTAATTCAAATGTGGTGTCATTTAGTGCTGTGCGTGTATGATGAATGTCTTAGTTCCCTTACTTATAAATTCCCCCTGGTTCTTGGATGTCTAATTGTTATTGGCTTGAGATCCGAACGTTGTCGTCTTGTAACGATAACGATCTTAATTAATGTCTTTATGGCACGTGAAAAGAACCCACAACAAGTGCGATCTATATATGTTATGTCATACAAATTACAGTCTGACATCTTCATTTTGTATTTAATACAAATATATCTAGACATCTTGACATATGAATTTATAATACGTTGACTAGTGTAATGTCATGAACAGA